CTTCTATTTCTTGTATTTCCTCTATTTCTATTTCTTCTATTTCTTCTTCTTTTATTTCTTCTTCTTTTCCAATTTCTTCTTCTTCTGTTTCTCCTCCTCCTTCTATTTCTCCTCCTTCTTCTATTTATTTATATCCCGCTTTGCCCCTAGAATTGGGACACAAAGCTGCTTAAAACTGAAAAGAACCATACAATTAAAAATACACCAAAGTGAGCATTAAAATGGAATTAAATTACAGTATTCAAACACGTCACTCATTTAAAGAATGAAATGCAATTTTAAAAAATAAAAGCACTTAAAAACAAGCGCTGGCCTGTCTCACAGGAAAAGCAAGGTGCTAAGTTGGGGTGGGAAATCAAGGGTTGCTGCCATACTGCAAATTAATGAAGTTTGACACTGCTTTAAATGCCATGGCTCCATACTATGGAATTCTGGGATTTTTAGTTTGCTGTGGCACCAGAACTGTCTGACAGAGAAGGCTAAATATCACACAGATCTCCAAATCCCAAAAGTCCATAGTATTGAGCCATGGCAACTAAAACAGTTTTGGATTGCTTTAATTCTGCAGTGTGGATACATCCTCAGTCAATGTACCCATGTTTGGGGTTAGGAGAGATGCTGATCTGAGGTCTGAATCCAGGTGCAGTGACAGGATGCATCCATGTTGCAGAATTAAAGTTTGACACCACTTTAACAACTGCCACAACTCTATCCTACAAGTCCCAGGATTCTGCAGGATGGAATCATGGCAGTTAAAGTGGTGTCAAACTGCTTTAATTCTGCAGTCTGGACTGGACTCTAGGTTCAAATCCCTACAGAGCAATGAAAACAATGCTGACTTTGGGCAATGACAAACCTCCTGAGGATAAAATCATGAGCCAGCCTGGTGTAGTAGTTTGAGTGTTAGACTGAGACTGTGGGAGACCAAGGTTTGAATTTCTGCTCAGCCACAGAAACCTAGTGGATGACCTTGAGTAAGTCGCACTCTCTCAGCCTCAGAGGAAGGCAGTGGCAATAACCTCCTCTGAGTAAATCTTGACAAGAAAACCTGTTGCCACAAGTCAGAGTTGACTTGAAAGCACATAAGAACAACAAAATAATTTACATTGGACTGCTATGTTAGAATGAGATTTTTGTAAGTGATGCATTTATAGCTGTTGAATTTGTTAATTTTAGAAAAAGCAAATGTGTCCACTAAAAATTCACCTTCCTGAGAAATGTGGCTTTAATTAACAAAAATGCAAAAAGAGTTTCCAGACTTTCAGAGGCGTGATGAGTTAGGTTATACTAGGAAAAACTGGAAGTTTCCTCATACTGAGTGGGTCCCATACTCTCCTAAATTCAATTGGCCAGCAGGTTTGGAGAAAGGTATTTCTTTGGATTATAATTCTTGGAATCCCCCAGACTGTGATTCTGGGAGTTGTAATCCAAACAAGTCAGTTTTTTCTGGTTCCAACCCCAACTATAACTTTTGCTTTCTTTAAGGTATGACCTTCAGATCCGTTACCTCCCCGAAGACTACATGGAACGTTTCCAAGAGGACCGGACGACGCTTCTGTACTTCTACCAACAGGTGAGAGAACTTTTTGGACTTGTGATCACACACCTTCCTTGACCCTGGTTTAACTTGTCACCCAAAATGCTGGGGTCCGGGGAGGACACCTGCAACTGCTATGCTTTTTAGGGGAATTTGGTACTTAGTTCAAAGGAGAAATATTGTTTGGTTGGGGCAACAGCGACCTTGTGCTCCAACCCAACTATACCAGGTCCAGAGGCATTTCTAATAAGTTTTATATTTTTTTTTAAGGGGGCTAAGTAAAATACACACATAAGGACTAGGAAGCAAAGGTGGGAAAGGTGAATAGATGTAAGACTTTGTCAGTGGCAATACTTTACCTGGACGGATGTTGATTCCAGTCGAAAAGGGTCTGGAATGGAGAGAGGAGTCCTCTCTCAATAGTTCCCATGGCAAATGGGGGTGGCGAGCGTATTGAAGTGTTTAGCCAAGAAAACCGACAGATGGGTTTATCACATGAGGGGCAAACTGCAAAAATCCTGTGCAGAAATGGGATTTAAAAAACTGTGCAAAAGCGGGTAGTTTTTTATACACAATGGGGTTAATTAACCCGAACAGAAAAGGCCTAAGCAGACTGCCAGAAATAGTGCACATTAAATTGAGGCACAGACCTGGCTCAGTGCTAAGGAGTCATGGGAATTGTATTTTTTTCTGGGACATTGAGCCTATACAAAAAAATTAAATCCAGTTTCTGCACAGGATCCATCCTGTGTGATAAACTCCAGAGTGTCTGTCTGCACCTGGACTGAAGCCAAAGAATGGCCAGTCGGGGACTGAGATTTATACTGAAACTCTTGCTTGGGGGCAGAAACCAAGGGTTCGAAAAGGTTTCAGTTGCTTTCAAAGCGGGGAAAAGTGGTCTGCAACCGGATTAAATGCTGTGGGTGACTGGTGCAAATATCTCACACAAAAGGGTTTAGACACCGGCTCTCAGGCCTTTGTCTGACCATGTGCTTCCAGTCCCATTCCTTAGCCATAATCCCTTTACCTTCTCCAGGTTTATGGATTATGGATTATGTTGGCAATTCCACTGATTTCCCTGGCTAGCTCTAACCTGGTTTGCTCTCTGCACACAGGTCTGGTGTCCACAGCAAGGTCATGCTTGAGACACCTATGCCAATTTTATTAGGTTTATATCAAATAAGGAGGGTGAAGGGGGCTAAATCTTGGGGAAACCAAAGTCATTCAACCCTTGTGCAATGTAGCCACATGCACTCCCATTAATAGATGTTGGAGAACTGTGTACTTTCCAATGCATGCAGAGCATTTTGTATGTTCTCCCCTCCTTAGGAAACCAACGTTCTTCTGCTGGAAGTGCACAAGTTAAATGTGAAAGTCCAGGACTACAGTTCCCAGATCTCAGGGTCAGGCCCTGATTCTCAGATCCTAGCCCCTCTTCTACAGTTCTTAGAGCAAAGGGGAGGAATCTGAGTCTGCATCCACACTGCAAAAATAATCCAGGTTCACACCACTTAAATTGCCATGGTTCAATGCTGTGGAATTCTAGGAATTGTAGTGTTATAAGACATTTCACCTTCTCTGTCTGAGAGCTCTGGTGCAAAAACAAACTACATTTCCCAGGATTTCGTAGCATTGAGACACAGCAGTGAAAGTGATATCAAACTGAATTATTTCTGCAGTGCAGATGCAGCCTTTGGGGAAGAGCATTATTTTGAAAATTATCCCCATGCGTTCTGGATCCTTCCTGTCAGTGGTAGTCAAACCTGTTTGGGACTCAAGAGTAGAACTTGGAAAATTT